AAACCATACCTCAATAATGAATGAATGTGGCATTATATAGAAGTTAGGAAAACCTAATAACACTTCTAAAACAATTAGAATTTGTGCATAGGATATGGAAAGAAGTTGGGTTCAGAAAGGAATAAAAAAGAAATAAGGAAACTAAAGTTTCTAAGCTGTTAGGACTTCTTAAACTCATTCAAGATTCTTTGAACCGGTTCACGAAGGCTAGCAAGGAATTCGAAGAATCCCTAAGATTCTTGAACCGGTTCAGGAATTCTTAAACTGGTTTATGATGGCCAGTCTTGAATTTTTCTATAGAACCCTAAAAGTTGAACCTGTTCAAATATTCTTGAACCAGTTCAAGTTGGATAGAATGTATTTCTTCCAAGGAAAATTTCCAAACTCTTCATAAGTATTCTCACTACCTCACAAAACATCCTAAAACATTATTCTCATCATCCCGGAGTGTAGTAAACCTTGAACACTTGAACTTCTTCAAATCCGCATCTGATCTTCAATCTTAAAATTTTGAATCGAAAAATTACAACTCGGTCAGACTTGTTTTGATAACAAAATTAGCCAATTACAAAATATATATCTCACAATCTCCCCTTGTAACAATTTCGTGACAAAGCCCTAAAAACAATATGTAATCTACCCAAGTAAAAAAAAAAAAAAAACAAATTACAATGATTGTTAAAGGAAATAAACCGCGGAAATTTTCTAGAACCTCATTAAGCTTCAACACTTGTAACAACCTATAATCTACACATTTAGTTCAAACATAACTACCTGTGAAGCTTAATCGAGAAAATAAACACAAGTATAAAATAGCCATGCTAATAATGCCTGAATATTAATGCAATGTAATGCAATGAACAAATTGTTCTCCCTCTCAATGCAAAAATATCTCTCCCCCTGAATGATAAGTCTCTAAACTCTTCTCCTCCTTTTTGTCATAAATTAACAAGGGTCTTAAGGAAGAAATATCCTAGAAGTAGGAAATAACCAACCATATAGAACTTGTAAATTGAATCCAATGAGAATGTAGACTCCACAAAACTATATGTATCAACACAAATAACCAAGATCAATTCAATGAAGTTCCACAAACTTAGTAAGTGTAGTAAAATCACCAGCAAGTTCCAAAACTTATGATCTGTCAACTGTTTAGATTTCAGACAATAAATCAATAATATCACATATCCATAGAAATCAAACAATTAACATTTGCAAAAGACATTTTTTTTCTCTCTCTCTTTGTGTTTCATTTTTCTTTTTGCACATTGGCAGCTTTCAAACTTATGGGTAGCCAGTTCTTTCCGTTATTCCCATTTGTTTCGAGTTAAGGTAGCTTTAGACAATTCCAAAAGGTAGCCTTTTCCACCTCTTTCATTTTTTTCAAAACAACAAATATTTTTCATTCTTTTTCAAAAACTTTTCATTCCAACCTGTTTTTCAATTTTCTATTCTTTTCACTTTTTTGGTCTAAAACACATCAAGTAAGTTTAAATTCCAAGACAATATTCAATCATATCAACATTATCTTTAACCAAAACAATGACATCAAACATAAGTAAATGTATTATCAAAATTCATTTATTATGCGAAATAAGTAAACAAAACCAATTTCATCAATTCATAACCATAGTATATTTTACACAGATAATTCATGTGTCATAAAACACATTTTGTGAGTCATGATTCTCAAAATAGGACACTTAATTTGGAACAAAGGTAGTATATAAATTTCACGAATTTTTAACAGCTCAATTCGCGAGTTATGGATTCGATTTTTTTGAATCCGCCACCAATCTGTGGGTGTAGGATCGGATAGAATTCATGGATTTACGAATTTTTTGCACACCCCTAATTACCATTGATGTGCATGTGAGATGAAAATAAATAAGAAAACTAATTTACTTTATTTTCTTTTGAATATAAAACGTAAGAATATATATAATGGGTATCTTTAAAAATTGAATGAAAATATTAAAATATGTGAGAGAGAATCATAATTATCAAATACCTAAAATACAAAGCAAGGTAATCTCCCAACAATCGCTACTTCAAACAAACACACACCCTCAGAACCCCAAACTCTCCCCTCCCCACATACACCACCCCTCTCCCCACATACACTAATCGCACACGTGTCAAGCGTTTCACCTTTTGATACGTCATTGCAATGACGCGGAATTACCGCTTGAGACGATGTTTTGGAACGGTTTTCTCCTCTTTCGTGGGAGCTTCCTCTGGATTTAACGTTTATGAGACAAATATTTAGAAATAAAATAAGGCTGCAAATTGCAAAGTTGCAACCAACATTCAAAGTGCATTTTGGACCACTTTCAGTTTCCCATGTTTCTGTCCTCTTGTTTGGGTTTCACTATGCCTTTGTAAATGCTCTTTTATTTTTACAACTTGTTTAACTTTGGGCAATTACACAAATCATTCACGAGGTTTCGATATTGTGCATGTAGATAAAAGTTATAGCAATATGACACAAATGTCTATATTGACAGTTTGACAAAAAAAAATCAATACAAATTTACACTTTTAACCTTAAAATTAAAGTATTTATTTTTTATTAAAAAAAAATATTGTATTTGGGTCTGTGGTTAGTTCTGTTACAGATAATTTTGTGATTTTTGCAATTTGGTGATGGAGTCTTAGGGGCAAAACTGTAACTTTAACAATACACAAAAAAATTTAGATTTTTTTTATTAAACAAACAGTTTAACTCTAAGGACAAAAATGTAAATTCATATCAATCCACTAACCACAAATAATTAATTTGGACTTTTCTATTATATTGTGGCCATCTTCTATCTACATGTACAAATTAAAAACTTAGGGGGTCTTTTGTGTAATTTGCCCTTTAACTTTTGAAAAAAAAAAAAAAAAAAAAAAAAATCTCCAATCCAAAATGCATGAAATCTTAAATAATCCTACATCAACGATTGTATAAGCTAAAATAATTTTGCATTATATATATATATATATATATATATATATATATATATATATATTATCAACCAAATTTGAATATTCTTGATCGGTTAAAACCTTTAAATCCAAAGAGCCTACTATAATTCTCTCTCTCTCTACAAATGACCAGAAAACATTCCGCTAAATTAGGATTTTGGTCTTTTCCGACATTCTTAACTACAGTTTTATTTTTTTAATTTAGAGTAACCTCAATCTTTATGGCATGCTGTATTAATACGATGACTCATTAGGTTGTTATAATCTCTTGGACCAATGATAATTGAACAACAACTAAATATGTTCTCAATCTCTTTGCACTCGAAAGCATCTAAATATGTCCACGTATTAATATGACATATATATATATATATATTTTTCATAATATTTAATTGCAAAATAAGAAAGAAATTAACAAAAATTGATAATTTCAAATGGGTTAACCCGTTTTAATGTGGTTTAACTATATGTTGTCACATCAATTGTAATAATAAATAGATTAATTAACTAACTAAATGTTTCTGATTAGTTATATATGCACAATATATGTAAGTGGAGGGTCCCATTTCTTTATTTATGCTATTTGTTGTAGTGAATTGACAGACATATTTCTTTTAATGGATCCCATTTATGCATAAATAAATAAGTGGACCCTCCACTTGCATGTATTGTGCATAAATAACCAATCAACAATATTCGGTTAAGTAATTCACTACAAGTGTTCGGTATAAATATCCAAAAAAAGAAAATAAAATAAAAAGAAAACAGAGAAGTAAAAGAAGAAAGACTAAATTTTACATATATTAGTAAATATAGCATTCAAGCTCATACCATGCCTTGACAAATATCCATAATGAGCTCAGGTTTTAATTACAAAATATAACACTCAAGCTAATTCTAAGCCTTAAAAATGAGAACGATTAATATAATTGAAAGCAAAAAAAAAAAAAAAAGTTTCTCTTTTAAGGCATATAAATAGACAATAAAAAATACACTACATACTAGGGAGATCACTTGAAATTCCATATACTTGATTGAATCAGTCAATTAAATATTCAATCTACATATGTAATAGCAATTAGTCAATTAAAGATAATATTCAATCTACTTAGGCAACACATATAAATGTATGAATAGATAAAAATTAAATCTAATCACCAAATAAAGGAACCACACAGCGTGATATATACACCCACACACACAGTGGGCATTTGAATTTGAAGAAGAAGAAGAAGAGAGACAGAGAGAGAGCACTCACCGTAGGCTGTAGTATGGACCTCGACAGTCATTAGTGAGGTTTAAGGGGTGGATTAATCTTGGGAATGAGATAGTCTTTAGTGACCGGGATAGTAAACGAATATATGAGCTGAGATTTGGATTTAGGCCCCCTAAATCAGTTTAAATAGGGTGAGTTAATTTGTCATCCCCATATGTTACAAGAAAAGTAGCCCAAAACCCATATACCATTTATATGTATCAAATGCCTACAATTTGTCATGGGTGTAGAACTGAGAAGATAAATATCAGAGAGGATAAAGAACGGAAATTGCTACATCTTCTTATTGCATTCACCTAATTAAATAGAGGTGTAAAATAACAAACTGAACACAAAATATGGAAGTGGTTCCGTATATCTGTAACAGACTTGCATCACTACTAGGATACTCCTAAAGACTAGATAAACCAACAGACTCCTAAAGACTAGGACAAATAGAGACTTATTCAAAATTAAACTCTTAACACCCTCCCTTAAACTAAAAACGTATTGCTAACATTTAGTTTATAGAGTTACATCACACTGGATCCTCCATCAAACAGACACCAAGCAATTGCCGTAGCTTCATGAAAAGGGGTAACTTGAGAGCTTTGGTAAGAATATCTGCAAATTGTTCTTCACTTCTACAGTAGATCAGATCAATGTCTTCATTGTTAACAAGATCACGTAAGAAGTGGTACCGCACATCAATGTGTTTACTTCTTCCATGCATAACAGGATTCTTTGACAACTTGATTGTAGAACTATTATCACACTAGACTGAGGTGGGGCGATTTGGATGGTAGTGTAGTTCTTCAAGTAGCCTCCTCAACCAAATAGCTTGACATGCACAAGAAGCAGCAGCAACAAATTCAGTTTCGGTAGTGGACAAAATAACAATTTGTTGCTTCTTTGATGACCAAGACACAGCACCAGACCCCATCTTAAAGACATATCCTGAAGTGCTTCTTCTATCATCTGGATCACCTGCATAGTCACTATCAGTGAAGCCAAGTAAATCAGATTTTCTTCCAATCTTGTAGAGTATGCCAAAATTGATGGTCCCTTTCGAGTATGGGAAGATTCTTTTGGCAGCAAGAAGATGCAATTCTGTAGGATGTTCCATGTATCTACTAATGAGACTGACTCCATACATTATATCTAGCCTGGTCGTAGTCAAATACATAAGACTTTCCACGATCTGCTTATATAGAGTGCTATCAACCTTCTTACCTTCATGATTTTTACTTAGTTTCATGCCAAGTTCGACTGGTGTAGCAACCGAATTGCAATTCCCCATTTGAAATCTGTCCAAGATTTCTTGAACATATTTCTTCTGTGAAATAAAGATTCCAATAGAAGTTTGTGCTACTTCAATGCCAAGGAAGTAGTGCATAAGTCCAAGATCAGTCATATCAAACTCAGTCATCATTGACTGTTTGAAATCAGCAAACATAGTACTATCATTACCAGTGTAAATTAAATCATCCACATATAAGCATACCATTATCAACTCACCAGCAGATCCAGATTTCATAAATATTGTAGGCTCATATGGACATTGTTGAAAGCCTGACCTTGAAAAATATGCAGCTATGCGACTGTACCAAGCTCGAGGAGCTTGTTTTAGTCCATATAGCGCCTTCCTTAATTTGTACACTTTCTTCACATTCCTATCTTACTCATACCCCGGGGGTTGATCAACATATACTTGTTCTTGCAAATCGCCATGTAAGAATGCAGATTTTACATCCAACTGGAACACGGGCCATGAGTTTTGTGCTGCCAATGCAAGTACCAATCGAATGGTATCAAGTCTTGCAACTGGAGCAAAAACCTCTTTGTAGTCAACGCCAAATTCTTGCTTATATCCTTTTGCAACTAGGCGAGCTTTGTACTTGTCAACTTTTCCTTTCCCGTTCAGCTTTGTCTTGTAGATCCACTTGACCCCAATTGACTTTTCCCTTTAGGAAGATCTGTCAGTTCCCAAGTGTTATTTCTCTCAATGGATGCAATCTCCTCATCCGTTGCCTTCTGCCATTTTGGGTCTTTGATAGCATCTTGGAATGTAATGGGATCACAATCTGAAAATAGAGCACAATGGGTAATGGGGTCATTAAATTGATTAATCCCAGTTACCTCATAATCTTGCATCCATGCTGGTAAACTCTTGGAACGCTGAGGTCGTGACTGGTGTGACAATGTAGGTTGATCTCCTCCGGATGAAGATGCTGATAAATGAGGTGAAGATGGAATTTGTTGTTGTTCTGTAGGAGAGGACTGTTGTTCTGAAGGAGAGGACTGACTTTCTTCATTCTCAACATCAAAATTGACTGGAATGGACTGCCCAGAAGTATTAACAGCCCATGTCCATGTTCTTTCTTCATCAAATACAACATCTCTACTGATGATGATCTTCTTGGTGATGGGATTGTATAATTTATAGGCCTTTGAATGTTCGCTAACACCGAGAAAGATACATTTTTCTCCTTTGTCATCGAGCTTCTTCCTCTTTTCATCTGGAATATGAGCTTACGCTATGCACCCGAAAATTTTGAAGTGGTCGATAGTTGGTGTGCGTCCAGCCCATGCTTCTTCAGGTTTCATGTTTTAGACAGCTAATGTGGGACTCCTATTCAATATATGAATACTCCAATTCACTGCCTCAGGCCAGAAATTCTTTGGGACACTTTTCCTTGTCAACATGCTCCGCACCATGTTTAAGATTGTACGATTTTTCCTCTCGAACACACCATTCTGCTGTGGTGTGTAGGCTGCTGTAAGTTGCCTTTTAATGCCATGCATCTCACAGAAATTTGCAAATTCTCGTGAGGTGTATTCTCCACCACGATCAGTTCGAAGAGTTTTGATAGCTCTCCCAACTTCTTTCTCAACAAGAGCTTTATAATTTTTGAATATTGAAAAAACTTCAGATTTGTCCTGTAAAAAATAAACCCACGTTTTGCGACTATAATCATCAATGAATGTAATAAAATACCTCTTGTTACCATTAGATGTTGGATTTATAGGCCCACAAATATCTGAATGGACCAGCTCCAAAGTCCGTTTTGCTCTCCATGCTTTCCCTTTCGGGAAATGATCACGATGTTGCTTGCTAACAACACATTCTTCACAAACTTGTGAAGGAATATCAATCTGTGGAAGGCCCGTCACCATATTTTTCTGATATAGAGTCTTCAATCCAGTGAAGTTCAGATGCCCATAGCGAAAATGCCATAGCCATGCTGAATCTTTCACCTTAGCAGAGAAGCAAGAATGAAAAGCATTCTGGATATATATCGGAAACATTCGATTTACCGTCATGTTGACCTAAGCAATTAGACCCTTATTTGGATCTTGAATTCGATACGTTCCTGCTTTAATGACGATCTCATATCCCTTCTCTTGTAGCTGCCCCACGCTAAGTAAATTGTTCTTCAAATCTGGAACATAGAAAACACTAGAAATTGTTTGAAAAATGTTATCTTTAGTCCAGATTTTGACATTACCTTTTCCCATGACACAGACTTTTGACTTATCTCCAAATTTCACCGTATCTCGAAAGGATTCATCCAAATCAGAAAATACTGACTTGTCGCCACACATATGATTACTGGAACCTGTGTCTAAATACCATAAGTTATGGTGTATTTCTTCCACGGTATGACACGCCATCAGAAGAGTGACTTCATCTTCCTTCTCTACAAAAATTGATTTTTCACCAATTTCTTTTTGTAATTTTGTCCGACATTCATTACGATAATGGCCATACCTATGACATCTATAGCACTCGACATTTGATTTGTCAAATGGCTTTGATTCTTGATTAAGTGATTGCAGATTATCACGCCCTCTGCCTCTGCTTCGGGAATCAAAAACATGGTGATCTTCTGATTTGTAATGTGTGAGTCTGCCATCTCTGCTACCTCTACCTCTTCCTCGTCCTCGTCCTCGGCCTCTTCCTCTGGATGTTGAAGAGTGATTGTTGGTTGTGACCTGCAATGCTTGCTCCTCTTTGACATCATGATTGATTCTTTGCTCATGAACCAACAGTGAACTTTGCAGTTCATCAATTGAAAGTGCATCAATATCATTCGATTCCTCAATAGAACAAACGACTTAATTGAATTTTGAGGTCATCGATCGAAGAATTTTTTCAATTATTGTAACATCTTCCATCTTTTCACCATGGTGTTTGCAATCGCCATCGTTATTGAGAAATAGTCAGAAACGGACTCTCCTGGCTTCATATGAAGTGTTTCAAAGTCAGTGCGAAGTGCTTGAAGGTGTGCACGTTTCACCCTTGCATTGCCTTGATACTTCTTTTTCATCGAATCCCAAATTTGCTTGGAAGTATCTTACGAGATAATAGTTTCCAAGATCGAACGATCAATTGCTTGGAATAGATAATTCTTCACTTAAAGATCCTTCACTTTTTGTTCTTCCAGCTTCGTTTTCTGCGCTTCCATCAACGGTGCTCAACTCGACGGTTCAGCAACACCAATTTCCACAAGATGCCAATATTCTTTGGATCTCAGGAAATTCTCCATCAACATACTCCAATGGTCATAGTGACCATCAAAGCGAGGTATAGCTGGTTGCACGAAATTTTCAGATGCCATTAGTGATTGCTGCTGTAACACAAGAGTGAGTAGAGAGAGGTTGCTGCTCTACTAAGACCCACTGCACTCTTTTGAATGTATGGCTCTGATACCACAATGTAGAACTGAGAAGATAAATATCAGAGAGGATAAAGAACGGAAATTGCTACATCTTCTTATTGCATTCACCTAATTAAATAGAGGTGTAAAATAACAAACTAAACACAAAATATGGAAGTGGTTCTGCATATCTGTAACAGACTTGCATCAGTACTAGGATACTCCTAAAGACTAGATAAACCAACAGACTCCTAAAGACTAGGACAAATAGAGACTTATTCAAAATTAAACTCTTAACAATGGGTTCATCTCACTCATATACCATTCATATGTGTATATACATATATACAAATACATGTATTGTTATTTATCAGATATTACCGTATTACCTACATTTTGGATCAAAAATGTGTTCTATAGATGTATTCTCTATTCATCAATTCTTCAATCATATACAATTTGTATTCCTAATTGGTACCGTCATATACAATTATATATCTATAAATCAACAACCACATATTATCAAAATTTCATCAGATCTAACGAGACATACCACAAGTGGGTCATATATTTAAAACCAAGGCGTAGGCTTTATGGGAATTCTGATAATCGCCACGATCTTGTTCTTCCCCATCTCTATATCACCGCGACATTTATTAATATGCTTTCTAAAATCCTCAAACACACGCAGCTTCTCCTGGATCTCATCTATAGTCCGCATCACATCAACCTCTTTTTTACCATAAAAATCAGATGTATCTAACACTGACTTAACCTCAATTTCCAATTGATCCACAAGTACTCCAATGCTGTCCAAGTCACATTTCCCAATGGAAGTCCCATAAACTAATGAACTCGTTTTCATATTGCTCTGTCCTTCCACCTCATTCTCATACTTCTTCCAAAGGGAATTAATCCATCCACCCATTGACGCCAAATTCGACCTAGCCGCAGCCACAGCCGCCAAAGCCATCACAACCGGCGGTGAAGTAAGCGCGGTCGCCACAACAGAACATATCAGCACAGAGGCAGAGGACGACCCCCCTTGCGTAAATGGATCACCTGCAGTCTTGAAATCCTCCAGCTTCTTTAGCGTCCCCGAGTAGAATTTTTCTTTTTCCCACCACATGCATTCGCTGTGTCTATCGTCAAATTGAATCATCAAATGGCTGTTGAGGTACTCGTCGAGAGTATAAAAGTCATTCACATCCTGAAGACTGTTTTCCAGGTAGCATTTCACGAAATCGAAAAGCTCTTCCTTATTGAACATGTCCTTTTGGTTTTCGAGAATGAAATTGACCACCTGTTCATTGGTTTTGAGGATGCAGTCTGTGAGCTTTCTCAGTGAGTCCAGAGAGACTGACCGAGCACCGACGTCCACTGCGAGGGTGTGGATGACTCCGGTGATGCGTTTTTGGAGGGTGGAATCGAATGACTGAAGAAATGGGTCGAGTCGACACGCGTCTATGTAGGCTATCAGATCAGACGCGATGTCTGAATATCGATGCTGTTGCCTTTGTTTGCTAGAATCACCACCCATTGTTGTTGTTGGCCCTAAATCGGTTAGATGATATTACAAGCTTCAAAAAAACAACCCCAAATCTATATATATATATATATATATATTTTATTATAATAAATAACAGAAAAACCCAATTCACTGTATTTGGGTTCCGTAATCTTCTGTTTTCATTTTATATGAAGTTCGGGCGTGTGAGGAAATGTCTCTGATTTTTCCAGGAATTTAAGTTGTATTTCAATAAAGCGTGTTTAAAGTTACCGAGTAAAAGCATGTTCAAGTAAGGTTCTTCTCTCCATCATGTGAACGATCCTTATGGCAGAAGATCCTAATAAAATATATTCAATTAATCCAAATGCAATGTTGGTAAAATTTACCAAATTACCCCTAATCCAATCTTCATATCCATACCTTTGAATTTCCACATCATGATGGAGAATTTTTGACAACGTAGTCTTACCGCATCTATGTCATTCAATTTCACCATAATCGTCTTCGATTGACTCCTTTAATTCCACGAGCTTGCTTCTTCTTGCAGTAACTTCACAAATTTTCGAGCAATTTTCAAGCATTTGAAGACAAGCTTCTTGGCATTTTTAATCGATTCAACGATTTGTTCAGCTAAATGATCTCAGCAAAGAATGGTTCTATTGATTTGTTCAGCTTAATGATCTCACCAAAGAATGGTTCTAACGATTTGTTCAGCTTCAACTTGACGGCTATGTTCGTCAAATGATTCAAAACAGCTTTCACCAATTCATTGACTGCTGCTGCTCCCAAAACAGCTCTTCCAAAGAGCTCATCCGCCATCTATGTAATGTATTGTCTTCTTCACAGAAACCCTAGTCCCTTGAACTCTGGAGAGGGGAAGTAAAGGAGTAGCATTGGGAAAAAAAAAATTGAAATATTACATTAATATTTTATTTTGTTATGTAGATGCTAAAGGTTAATATTGTAAATTTAATAAGATAGTTTTTTTTTTTTTGATGGAGAAAAAAAATAAAAAAGACCCAATTGATTTACTCTGTCCCTTCTAACGCCATGGATTCAATTTCAACCAAACAAATGTTCACTCTGTCCCATAAAAGAAGTACAAATTTACGGGACATGTAGTCCCTGAAAAGTTACCAACTTATCTTTTTAAGTTTAAAATTTTAAATCTCAAAACATATAAGAAAAAATGTCAAATATATTATTTGAAAAAAGAAAATAGACAATTATTTTAAGACAACCCAACAAGGAGAAAAATGGACATTATTTTTGAGACAGAAGGAGTATAAGAATTCTAAGGAGTAGGGGGGAAAAAAAAATAATGCCAGACTAAGAAAAACAATTTGGGCTAATTTTAATTGGGCTCGAGTCATAAGTGAATTAACACGAATAATCAGTTTAATTAATTGTATCGTGTTAAAATTGTTTAACTAAATACGTCATAATCGTATTAAAAGGACTCATATAACTTGTTATTTATGTAGGCACAATTACTATAGATAATTAGGTAATTTCAACGTAAACCCTTAACAAAAATTTGTATTAATTCTTTAACTATTATTTCTTTTCCCTCTCATTCTCGCTACACCTTATGATTTTAAAATTATTAAAGTTATTTAAACATTTGTCTTATTTCTACTTGTTTATGGGGATGTGTAATGATTTCTTCTTACTCTGAATGTTTGGGTTCTATAATAACTGAGTTAAAATATAAAATTTGAAGAGCTTTGTGATATAAAATTTGTCAACACAAACATACCCACCGTAACATACACTAACCGTTCACGTCTCACGCGTTTTACCTTTGATAGACCTAGCTAGGCCAGGCCTTGAGCTTAATTACGTGATTAAAGTAGGGTCGATCCTGAGATTGATAAAATTTTGAGAGGCTCTAATCGAACTTTAATGTGAGATTTTTTAATTATAGAAATACACAATAACATATACATAAAGTAATAAAAGGTTATATTTAACTTTGAATTTAATCACCAAATTTTTAAAGACCCTACTTTTGAATGAGCTATGAATTCGTTTAAGTGAAAGGCTTTAAATTTTTTTATTTTTTATTTGGGCTTATCACTCACGGAAAGGGGTCTAATTTTTTATTTTTTATTTTTTTTATTTTATTTTATTTTATTTTTTTTTGTGGAACCTATCACTAATGGGCCTAAAAATTTTGAGGCCCTGGGCGACCGCCTTGGTCACCTTGGCCAGGGCCGGGGCTGGCCTTAGACTTTTTTAAGATGTTTATATGCAGTGCACCACCTTGGTACAAGAATATCATGTAAAAGCATGACAACAATTAAATTTAGGAGGATATTTCGTCAAATCTAACAAGACATACAAGTGGGTCGTATGTTTAAATGAATCTTTTTACATTTTACCTTTTTTTTCCCTCCAAAAAATGTTGCACAAGAATATTATAGTTAAGTGAATATATATGGTTACCAATTAATGATTCTTGAATCAACCAACTACCAAAGTTAACAATTTCCAAATTTAGTGAAACACTTCGTAATAGTTCAATTAAATGAAGCACGTGAAATCAATCTACTAAAGCTAGCAAGTAATGGTGTTTTCATATACAATCTGCACATCTCACTCGTGTTGGATTGGATAGAGAGAGACTACAAAATTGGGGACGGTTTTTATGCGTATTTCGCCGGTGGGACCACCTCTGGATTCCTTAGTTAAGCGCACGCGTCCGCGGTCAGCTTGCCATATATTCATTCTCACATGCTTTTGGGGAGAGAGTATTGCCATTTAACCTGGACCCAGTTACACCAAAGCTCATTGGTTCATTAAAGCTTGAGAATCACAATGGGAGGTGGGAATTTGGCGCCTTTTTTTATAAATTGGAAACTAAGATTGGATGATGAAAGTACAAAGAATTTTCCCCCAATTGTAGAGAGAGAAACTTTACACTCCCAACAATCTTCAACTGCTTTTCCCTCTCAATCACCCTAATTTATAGGCAGTTATAACCACCCCTAAGCTGGACCTTACTTGCTCTCTTTTGTCTGGACTCGACTTCTTTCATCTTAACATGGGTTTTCGCAATGACTTCTTGGATCTGGGCCCATTCAGTGTGGACTTGTTCCATCCTGGCTACCCATATCCGACCCGTTCTTAGCAACATGAATCATACCAAGCCTAGATCATTTTTAGTATCTTCATCTGCCCCCAATAATCTCTCCCCTCATTAATGAGGTTGAGATTATTGAAAAGATACAATCTTGATCTGACGGCTCGGAGCGATGACACGAGGAATCGAACGGCTAGCACAAAAACCCAGACTTCGAGATCTACTGCGCCACTTTTGCCTTAACCTTTTGAATTCTATGTCGCCTCCATTTCTTCTCCTTAAAAACCCTGATCCTCTAAACTTTTATCTTCCTTTAACATATCTTACTGTTATTCTCCGTTGTCATCTTCCTGAGTTTCGTCCGTCACCTTCCTGCACTTTCCGGCGATCTTTCTTCAGTTCTTCCGGCGAGTTTCTCCTTTGTGATTTTGGCTACTGCGCTGTTGCTGTGTGCATCACAAACTCTTAAGGTTAGTTCTTTTTTACTACCCTTTTTGAAAAAGACACCTTTATTACCATAGATTCCTCCCCTTCTCCATGGCTCCCCCAAATCTGAACGCCATTCGCTTCAAGAATAGCATTCCCAATGACGTCTCTCTCAGGATCTATCCAATAAACTTAGATGGGAGATCTGGCGAGGGTCTCCTTCCTGGGGAGGTTTTATTCTCTGCCGTCTATTTAAACGTCGTTAGGTTCCCTTTACACCCATTCTTTTGTTACGTTTTCAACAAATTGGGGCTTTGCCCTCTGCAGGTTAACCTCAACTTCCTTAGGGTAATTTCAGTCCTCTTGCTCTTGAATCGTGATAGGAGTCTCAACCTTGACATCATCGACCTTCTCCTCTGCTACCGAATTAATAAAATCAAACAAAATAATCTGTATTATCACTTCTTCCCTATTGACAAACGGTCGGTCTGTACAGATAATAACTCATTTGAAAAAGGTTGGAGACAAAAATTGATTGGGGTTAGTGGGAATTGGCGGACTCCGCTCGGCCAATCTTTCTCTACCTTTTCTTCCTTTGGAGTATGCTCTGTCTCTGGCTACAAAAAACTGAAAACACATCCCACTGAATACCATTGTGAAAGTTGCCTTCCCCGTTTTTGTACTTTTCTTTGTAGCCTTCAAATTCCTCATGATGAACTGGTTTATAGCGTTTGCAGGGCCAGGCTAGACATCTTACAAGAGAGTGTGTTGAACAACGTCCCTTCAGCTACAGATTTGCTTACACTTGACAATCTCTCGGACATCTTTCTCTTAGGGTCTATAATGGAGAACATTTAGATTCCATCTTTCAGCAGGAGGAGACGTTCTGCTCCCATCCCTTCTGCTGCTCCTGCTACCATATCATCCTCTACACCTGTTACCACATCATCCACCTCTACTGTCTCTGCCCCAGAACAAGTTGCGATTGCTCCAGCTGTGACTCAAGTCACAAGTCGTTCTGCTATTGGGCCCTCTGCGCTCACCCATGCTGAGAACCCTGCTGTGGATTATTCTACTGAAGCCCGTCCTGCTGCTCCCATCATTGTGCCTTCAAACATTCTGTCTGACACTTCTTCAGAGAGCACTCAGGATGCTGGAGATTTCCAGAACAATGGAGTACCAGCTAGCGCTGGTCTGTCAGAAAAAAGTTTAGGAAAAAGGCCAATGCCTGAAGGCGGTTATGACCGGAGTGACGTCCCACCAGCTCGGAGGACCAGGATGGCTTCTTTCAGGGTTACTGAACCCTTGCCCCCAGCACGGTTTTTCATTCCAGAGGGTGAATTAGCCAGAACCTCTGGTCCAACATCATCCGTTCTTCCATAGCGACCTTTGCTCAGCCATGAAGATGGCTCGACCATTGGCCCCACAAACTCTATGTACAAGGACCCCCTCACCTCCTTTGCTTTCAATAAGGGTTTTTGGACTCCCAAGGATCTTAAAATTCAGAACAAGTTGTCTT